GTAAAACGAGTTGGCCAGTAGATCACCCCTTCAGGGTTAGATCTCTCTCTCTCTCTCTCTCTCTCTCTCTCTCTCTCTCTCTCTCTCTCTCGTATTTTTATTTTATTTGATTGATCTGCTGGATTTGCTGGACTGATTGATTGATCTCAACACTGTACTGAGATTCTAGGTGCTGAGACTTAGGCTTCATTTTAAAATGGGGTTTAAATGGGGGACCAAGGTGCTTTGACACACAGACTTATATTTGTATATGTCCCTGTTATCAGCAACAGCAAGAACACAGATTAGTTCTTTCATCCTTTGACTGGCACTTGCCTGTTGCTCCCACAATGCTAGTTCTGCTCTTTTTAGCAAGACAAATGCATCATGTAGACAGGTGCAGTGACTGGTCTTGATGTGTGCATGAAAGGGTGTATCTGGAGGAGGCAGTTAGATTTTTTTTAGTACTGACAAACATTATAAAATGACGCAAGCCTGCACAAAAGTGTTAGGGTCCACTTAAACCACGATGGAGCCAGACTGGTGCTTAGTAGGAAAGAAAGTAGAGCACCTTTTAAACTACCTTGTAGAAACCCAAAAGAAGCCGCGAAGCATCCAGTCTGGGAAAACTCACCCCTTAATGATTATCTAAATTTTCCAGATTATCTAAATGAAAATTGGGTAAGATTTGAGAATAATCATACAGAAAAACAAGAAAGAAAAAGAAAAGCCATGCTGGATCAAACCAATGGTCCAGCATTCCATTTACTTACCGGAAAATCCATTTGCACCCAGGACTGCTCACGCAGGATGAGTACAGCAGCTCCCTCATGCCCAAGTTCCTCAGCAACTGCCCTTAGGAGAAAAGGCACACAAAAGAAGGATTTGCACACAGGTAGACAGAGCATGGTATGTTTATGTGCTCTTTTTGGAAACTTCCCAGCCAAGATAGGAGAGCTGAAGAACTTGGTGCTAGATGAGATGACAGATAATGTGGGCCTATCAAAGGATCCCTCATGACGTCACTCAGTGCCTTCAAGATGGAATTGTGTGGGGCTCCACAGCATAAATACATGGAGCTGAGCAGAACCCATTCCCATGTTGCCTTCTGAAACCAGCTCTGCAGATAGCAATGGAATCATCACCACACCTCCCACCATGCAGATTTGGTTCGTCAGAATTCCAGTCAGTAGTATGAAAAGCGATTGAGAGATGTACCACTGTCCAATCAGAGATCAAACAGCAGAGCAAAACAGAGTCTGCTAGAATTTGATCCATTGGCACATCTCAGAAAAATGCAGAACTATTTCCTTTACATCATCATCTTCTTCTTCAATCAAGCTGATGGTATATTCAGCAAAGTACCTTTCAAGTCCTAGAAGCTGTTTAGTGGCAACTGCTCCCATTGATCTTTTCTCCTACGTGCCTGTGGCAACTTGGTCCTCTGTTGCTGTCATTTAGATAGAAAGAGAAAATAAGAACTGCAGGGTAGATGCGCCCTTGGAGGATAAAAGGGGAATTACTGGGAACAAACTCTGAATGTCTTTTAGAGAAAATTCATGGAAGATCAATTTAAATCTATCCATGACTACACTATCAATGGCCTATGTGTAAACTCTGGGTTCAGAGGCATCCAGGAATACTGGCTGCCTGGAAAGACAACAGAAATCTGTTTTCTTCATACCCTATTTGTGGGGTTGTCTGAGGCTTCTGCTTGGCTTGTGTGAGAAAAGGATGCTGATTTAGATGGGCATTGATGGACAAGTGGACCTCTTGATATGTTCTTAACATAGGGTTCAACTCATTCATAGAAACATCTAAAAACCTTATGGCATTTCAAAGCATACTGAGACACTGTGTGAGCTCCTCAGAGCTTTCCAAGAGTAAGATATAAGGTAGACAAACACATATGTACAAGCATTTAAGAAGGTGTGCATCTTCTGTGGTTGACGAGGAGGCCGCCTCCATTTTCAGGTAAGCTTTTTTAATTCTTATATTGTTGGAAATGGGTCAATACTAAGGGGTGGATCAAGTTTTATGGTGGATCAACTATGCCATCAGATATGGAAATCCCCAATCCTTCCATCTCATGGCAGCCCCTCCAGCCTCATGAAAAATCTGAAGAGGCATATTATAAGCCCAATCCAGCAGAATTTGTGGTATTTTTGTAGTATGTAGATCTTAATTCCATCACAATTTCCCCTCACCATGTTTTCCATAATAAATTCATCAAGGTTTGTCAATATATCTCTTTTCCTGAAAGTTTGCCTTAAGTGACATTTGCAAGAGTGTCATTTCTGTTTTGCAGAGAAAGTATGGTTGTTCATCTGTCCAGAAGAAAATGAACTGGGGCCAGTAGTAATGGTTTTTCTGTTCTGTCTCAGTATGAACAAAGGTTATGGGTCTTAAGTTCAGTAACACTTCTCTTTCAGGTTAGATTGTTTCAGCTTCTTCATATAAGTGAGCAGCTTTTCCTAGTTCCTCTTTTAAACTAGTCTTGACAGATCTAACAAGTCTTTCCCAAAATTCTCCCTACCAGACTCCCCACTCAACAAGGGATTTTCAAACAATCCCTCTCTTCAGATTTCTTCTCCAAAGAACTGTTGAAGTTTTTGTCTAGCTCTCTGCCCACTAAAGATCCTCCATATCTTGAACTGCTTAAATCATTTTAAGATTTTTGCATCATCAGAATATACAGTTTTACACAGTCCAAGTCTGACAACAGTCTTCTTTAGTGCTAACAGGTACTTGGTACTAATATTGGTACTTGGATCAAAAATGAATTCTAAATAAATTGTTGTAGTAACTGTGCATGTGAAAAGAACAATGGCAATATATACTGACTCTGATAAATTCTTGTTCATAGAAGCAAAATCCATTCCAGTAACTCAAAAGGTAGAGCTTCTATGAGATTATCTTTGGATGAGGAAGGAACAGTTTCTCCTAATGGCTGTGCTTGATGCTGTTTTCATAGTATGTACCTTTGAATTGCTGTTTTTACCTATAGCTTCCCTCTTGTATTCCACAGTTTCTCTCTTAGCTGTGCTGGAGTGTCACACAACCTAGCATGTATTAGGCCAGTGATGGCAAACCTTTTAGAGACCAAGTGCCCAAACTGCAACCCAAAACCCACTTATTTATCGCAAAGTACCAACACTGCAATAAAACCTGAAAACTGAGGTTTTAGTTTAGAAAAAACAACTCACAGCCAGTCCAAGCCTTTGCGCGCGCACGCGCGCGCGCGCGCGCGCACACACACACGCACACACACACACACACACACATATGCAAAAGCATGGACAAGTTGTGGCTAATGAGTCACAGCTTGTGATGTCATTGCCTGGCACCACTACTCTTTTCTGAACATGCGCATGGCCCCTATGTGCACTGTTATCCAGCGCTCAGCTGCTGGGGCAATGCTGGGGCGACTTGACTCATGTGCCGACAGAGAGGGGCCTGTGTGCCCCCTGTGGCACACATGCCATAGGTTCGCCACCACTGTATTAGGCTTTCATCTTGGCATTGCATCTGCAGTACCAAGAACTTGTGCTTTGGTCCAGATTGAACTACTTTATAGTCTTTGCTCTATTCATGTAAGCCCATTGTTGTCCAGTAAAAAAATCAATGAAGCTAATTTTGAGTCTCTTTTTAGTGGCATTCCAGACTTCAGTGGCTTCACTTCTAATGGGAAAGCTTCTGGATATGTTCTTCCTATTGAATATCTTTCGGTGTAAAAAAAATGAAATCATCAGCAGTCAGTGCTTGACTTGATGTTTGACCTTGATTTTTGCCTGCTGGAGTTCAAAGGCTGTGTACAAAATATCGTCCAATCATTTACTTGAAGTGCTGTATTTCTCTGTTTCCATCACTGGTCTTGTTGCCCACTCAATAGCTCAGCTGGCTTGCACAACACTGAAAGAGCTGGTTTAAAATTCAGAAAGTTCATGTTCTAAGGGCTGACATGCACATTCATTTTCTGACTGAGAGAGCAAACTGGGTCTTTTCTATGAAAGCTAGTCTTTTCATAGGTTTTCAATATAATTTCCTCAGGTAGGGAGATGACCTGGATTGTCATCTCCTGCACAACATGGCCAGTTTGAGGGACTTATCAAGTTTAGGATCTTGATTACTCTGATAGTCACAAAGGGTTTCCACTGCTTTGCTATGCTGTGGATCCAGAGTAGGACAATCATAGTGTCAGCCCACGTAGAAATTATCTGCACTCTCACATACTTCATTAATCCTGCCACAATATGTCTTCCTATCAACTCTAGTCATGAAGCCACCCTGGATGTTGAAATGACCAGACTCAATCCACTTCTCCTTTATCAGTCACATACCTAAGATAGACCACTGTGGATCACAAAATGCATGCAGCATTGCTATAGCAGTTGTCCCATTATTTTAAGCAGAAAAGACAATCTTGAAATGCAAAAACTATACTTTCAGGTCAAATCATTTGGAAACTTTTCATCTTGTTGGAAACCTTGTTCCCACAGTTCCTGGAAAAGACATTTCATTCCAGTCATGAACAGATAAGAAACCAGTAGGGTCAAAGATGTATGCAGGTGCTTGTAGCACAAAATTCAAACAGTGTACTGGTTTCAAATGCAAATTCATCTATTTCCATTCTCACACTTAGGTTACTTCACATCTAAGAGCTTCAGGAGTGATGGTCCAAGGGCACAATTTGGCAATCTCAGTGGGAGTCATCCACTTCATCCTGCCAATGCATCTGCATTTCATTTGAATTAATGTTTCATTTCCAGCAATCCATTTCTGCTGTTGATAGTATTTCTTTGGTCGTCACATAAATATCATACACTACCTTTATCATCAACAAAATAGCATTCAACTAGCATTCTGCATGTATCAGGATGATCCTAGTTATATTGTGTTAGATGATGCTTTAAAA